CTCCGCAGCATCTCTACCGCCTGCGAATGCCACATGATGATCTCTGAACCCAAGTAAACGTATTTATCGACTTATTCGATCTTTTCGTCATTTGGTACTACCTGTGTCTTTGGTAGGGCATCTGATTACAGTATCTTCGTCTTTCACCGATTCGCGTTCCGACGTCAGCACTGTTTTTCTCAAACCTCTGCAGCATGTATCGTAGCGGACTGGCGTTTCTCAACCTTAGATGACTAAGCTGTTTGCCATTGATGTTAGTCACATCCTTCCAGGACTCCATTTCCAAACAAGAAGTGAAAAGTTCAGGAGAAATGGCATCCACTCGTTTCACGCCCTTTCCTATAGGATCCCGGAAGGGAGTATAAAACACAATGATGTTTTTGAAACCGCCGGAGTTCTCTTCCTACAGCAGGCTAACGTAGTGGGGCGGGTGTCCGTGCCCCGTTCTGCCAGTGCAATCTACGGTGTATTGTGTCGAGTGCCTTCTCGTAGTCGAGAAAGGCGATGCTGGGTGTACAAATTGCAAACAGATTGCATCCGACCTCTGTCAGACGCTAGTGCACCACCCTTTCTTCAAAGTCATGATGGTCAGCTAATAAAGCACTAACTCTCTCCTCTTTCCTGCTTTTCCTGATACTTCTCCAGTCTTCAACTAGTTTTATGATTTTCACAAGTCCTCTTTCGGCATCTGTTAAGTGAGTTTGTAGAGAAGAGAGTACTCCACCGTTTCAGTCCCCTCTCTTCAACCTCTTCTACTGCTCTAGTAAACTCTTTGTCTTTTCTGAGATCATTCTTTTCGCTTCTTTTGATGTTACGTCCTCGGCTGCGCCTCAGTTTCTCGGCAGATTTATCGTGGTCATTGTAGCAGTAGCCTTCCAGGCACCGGTTTTCGCTGGAAATGTGTCCTTCGAGCCGCACCTCGTTGAATATTGAACATCTTCAGCATTGCTTGCGATTAGCCATCTGCCGTGCCTTCCTCCCGATCTTTCCTTCGTAAGTTAGCCTGACCAACATCAGTTCGTGGTCACTGCCATTGTTAAATGATGGCATAACTGCCATACCTCGGATGGTGCGGCATTTACCGAACAAGACAAATGGATATAGCTCTTGATGGTCGCCGGGGGGCGCCATCTGCGTCCGCAATTCTGTTCATGCTCTTGAACCAGGTGTTGTTAGTGGGCAGATATTTTGTTTCTGTCATGATCATGAGTCAATCTCCTCACTCATTTCGTCTCCGGTGTCCGTTTGGGATTATTGATTACCGTATAGATATGAAAGTGACGTCGCTTGATAACGTCATCGATTTCAGCCGTTCAGATCTCGCACGTAAAGATGGTGGATACGACACAGTACCCTAGTTAAATTAAGAAGCAGAAATTGCCTGACATATCTCTAAACGATGCTGTGTATTAATTTCTTGAACCGGGAATCTTAACCACCATAAACCCCTCTCGTTGAATTCGTAACTGTCGTTTAATTGAGTAATTGAAAATTCGCAGAGATTTGCTCTGTTACAAATGAAATGCTGTTAAATTTGACCTTTCATTTAATTTAAACTCATGAGTCTCAGACTAACTAGTTCCTTTGTAATGTGAGATACTTGAGACCTTGACCACCGGCTGCTGAACGTACGTTTAATTTACCTACAGTAGCTTACTGAATCACTGGCGCTATTGGTCAAGGTCTCTGCCTCGTAAATCCGCCGCGTTTGTTTTGATCAAGGACATCCGTGAGTAAAGATTAGATTTTATCGCCTATGGCATCTCGCGACAACGAAAAATTAGCCCTGAGTGAATTGCGGTTGTAAAACTGTTCCAAAGGCATAAACCCATAGAGCCAGTAGAACTTTTCAACAACGGTCGGATACGCAGGAAGAATGTCTTGCTTACTATAAGTTAGGATCTTATTACAGCAGGTCTTCAAGCAGCAACTTAGGCACCTTACTTCTACTCACTATCGTGAGAGCAAGCCGTGGTTAGTCGGTCGGCTGTGATCGTTGTCTTGACGCGGTGGGTCGTTGACGCAAAGAATGTCAACAGAATTGTCCTGTTCGATCTGCCGTCAGTGCCAAGTCGGGTTCGGTCGGTCTCGGTCAGAGTGCCAAGCGATCTCGCGATCCGTGTGGTCCGGTTCGTCACTGGGAGGGGGTGATGTACGACGATGACGGCGACCATGGCGACCCGTGCGTTCATTGAAATATGGTTGTGGTTGGATGTGTCATGGACCCCCCAAACTTGAAGGGGGCCTTGTGAAACCACGAGTGCCGTGAGACGAGACCTCACGGGAACGCAGGCGGTGGCCAGGCTTGGAGCTGCGGGCGCGCGATCATCGTCAGGCATATGCACCTGCGCGTATGCGCCGGGGCCAGCGGCAGCTTCGTATCCATGGGAAAGTTTCGAGCGACGGAGGCGACCGTTTCG